TCCTGTGGTTAGGACTACTATTCAGCCATGTTCTGGTACTCGTCTCAATGGAATGTCGAATCGCTAAACTAATGCATCGAAAACATTTCAAATATTTCCATTTGTGTGGCATTCAGAATTATGCAAGGCAAACATTTTGGAAGGAAATGGCATGTGGCATAAAACATTGCGTATACTCAATGTACATTGTACACGTGCCAAGGATCTTCATTATTTTTTAAAACACTTTTTAATGATTTTTCATTTTTTCGGTACGTGGCCAGACAAATAGTTTTTGGGTCGGAGCAAAATGTATATGAGTATTCCTCTTTTTTATACATTTTTTCTTTTCTTTTTTTTGTGTTAAGTTTCGAAGCTCGAACGAACGAACGAACCGCCACTGTTTGTTTGCATTGGTAATGAGTTTACTTTGGCTGTAAGTTGCGCAAACAGACCGCCGGCTCACCTCTGCCTGGCTCTGGGGCCGCACCCACACACACACACACACATACACAGAGAGGGAGCAGCCCCAAAAGCCCCAAAAATGGCTATGGGCCATACGAACGGACTTTAGAGGAGCGGAAGCACTAGCTGGAGCTGAAGCAGGGGCTGGGGCTGGGGCACCACCAGAATGTGGAGGCATCCCAGAACTTGTGCATTAAACTTTCGTTTTATTGTAAACTTCTGTCAACAAAAATCTTTTGCGCCCGCACAAATACTCGCACTCTCGTACTCGCATTCATACACGCAAATTTGTGTGTGTGGCTCCTGCCACATGTGTTTTTAGTTATTTGGTTGTTCCTGCAAATTGCTTTGCGGGCTCTTTGTCTCTCTCTAACTTTGATAAATATAAAAATTTTAATTAGTATTAAAAAATAAAAAACTTCAATGTTCAAATATGAAGCAAAACTCCTGTACTCCTGTCGTGTCATGGCCTGTCCAGTAAAGTTCTCTGCATGCTGTTACCCGTCGATTGCAGGGGTATATTGGACATAAGTTGGCAATAGACAGAAAGAAAATATAATGATATTACATCCAGAATGACGGCAAAAAGTTGCTGTAAAGGAACAAATTATTTCTTTTTTGTGACTCATTTTAGGAGGTTTATAGGGATAGCTCTAGAATACACTGGGTATCTTCTATTCGCACTGTTTCTTCCATGTTTCTCTTTCACATTTAACGACCGCTCGTGAAAGTCAGCAAAATTTTGTAATGGCTCGCGGGGCTTTAAAGTGGGCTTAAAAAAAAAAGAAAAAAAAAGAAAAGTGAAATAAATCAAGGCAGCAAGGTTCATGTTGTTTGGCTTATCAAAAAAGCTGAACAGGGCTCTCGGCTGTAGTCTTTGGTTAAACATGGAACACAGAACACATCGTGATAAGCATGGTCAGGTGCGGTACCCGGCTCCAGCTCCAGCCATCTCGATAAGCATCAGACGCCGGAACATAAATCACGTTACAAAAGGAGCCCCAGCAATCTGCATCTACGTGTATTTGATGCTCGAGATGTCCCTGATGCGGATATCAATTCATTAAATGATGTGAAACTCAATGAAATTAGCGAGTCAGAGTCGGTGTTGACAAGCCATCGCTAAGTAGACCATTACCAGGACACTCCAGCTCAAAAGGAACTTCAAACAGTGCTTGGCCATAGTGGAGGGTCGGTCGGTCGGTCGGTACGGGGCACGGGCACGGGGCCAAAGGCGACTATGAAAACAAAATCCGCCACTAAGTAGCGGGTACTTATGACATAATAGCATTCTGTCAAACAGTGGTTCAAAAGCGAAAGTTTCGTTTGCATGGCAACATTTCTCGCGCTACAAATAACTTTGAATGGTTTTGTTCTTGGAAAAAAAAACAAAAGCAAAACTTTTTATTGATGCTGGAAAATAAAGTATCACTGACACGAGACGCAACAGTCAAGTGGCAAGGGAAAAAATAAATTCTATAATTACCATATGATTTACATCTGAATATTAATTTGTTTGTTAATTGGCCAGGTGGTCGATAGAAAAAAAAATAATGCCATACAAAATATACCAAATAAACGCATTAATTATGGCATCAATTAAAGCCAATAAATAATTATATTTTATTAAATTGTAGCTATTAACTGGCAGTCAGTGTATAGGCGGAAATAATGGGCTGATTTAATGGTTACTTCACTATTTACTTACTTTAATGGGGATAAGCATAGGCATAATCTTCAGATATTGTCAGGGACCCAATAAAACCCACACAAAATTTCAGAGATAATTTTCAGAGTTCTTCTTAAATGAAACAATTTCTACTATATGGCAAAGCAAAATAAAAATCTCTTAAATTGTAAAATAAATTATATTTTGGTAGCACTGAAGTTTCCACATTATTTTAGTCTCAATGAAAATTCTAAGCAAATCAAAATCACACTCGAAAATACAATAGACTAATGGAATTTTTGAAGAAATATTTCTTTGTGATTTGTTCTTTAACATGAAAGATAAATATCCCACCACTGTGCCCACCAAGACACGCTTCAACTCAGTGCCGGCCCGTGTCATTATTCGCCTCACCTGTGTCTGTTTCCTGGTGTTGCTTTTCCTTTTAGCCATATTAATGTATAGTATCTGCTTCTATGTGTGTGTGTGTGTGTGTGTGGTTTTTGGAACATTTTAGGTAAATTAAAAAATAACATTATTATTATTTTGACAGCACACTTTACGGGGTCCGTCCACTTGTTTGTGTACGTCAATCTGTGGCAGTGGCAATGTCTGTTTACTTAGCCAAAACCAGAATAATAACCTTAAACGATTCTTGTGAATTGAAAATAATTTAAAATCGCTAATTTTCCTAAAAGCAAAGACCACTTACGAACTGCAAGCCACGGAACTTCAAAGTAGGTGGGGGAGTTGTTCCATTTCAATAAGCCAAGCAGCACTTGGCCCTGTTTGATCTGCATTAGCGTGTCCATGTGTCTGAATATTTCCAATCAGTGTCCGGCCATATATCATCATCAATTGCAGTCGCTTGTGAGGCTGGCTGGCTGGCTGGCTGGCTAGGTGGCTGGCTGGCTGGCTGTATGCTGGTTGGTTGGTGGTCTTGGTCATTGACTTTGATGCCCTTTATCCACCAGAATGCTGTTAACCCAGACCCGGACCCCATCTGTAAATCCGGGGCGTTGAGCTGACAGTGACAAAGCAAATGTCAAATTAATTTGATGCCTTACTTAAGGCCCAACACCTACATACGTACGAGTATGTATCTCCACATCCGTCTGCCCTATCTCTAACTCCATCTCCATTTCCATCAGGGGGAATGCAGACAGGTGCCGGACACAATGCACGGCACACGAGGGGGAAAGTTGGAACTTCAAAAGGCACAAAGTGTCAAGCTATTTAACACGAAGTCGGTGAAGGAAACGTGGCTCACATCCAGAGAGACAGTCGCCCATCATACAGGCTGCTGGTCACCTGGAATGCTGACTGTCAATTTCATTTACGTTTTCAATCGATTTATTGTGCACGACCACAGCCCGCCCGGTACACGCCCCCCCCCACATACGCACAAACACACAGAGACACACACAACACAGACAGGACACCGGCCCAGACACTCAAAGGCAATATTGGTCAGATTTTTGACAGCTCAAATTGAATTTGCCTTTTGCTGCTGCCTTTTTGGCTGCGCCAGGAAACAACAACAACAAAAAAATGAGAAGAGAAGTGAAATGTTGTTTGCCTCGAACGCCTCCAAAAGGCAGCGAGGGTGTGGCCGGGCTGTCAAGGTGTGAACACATTTGGCTTTTGTTTGCCGCCTGCCACACGACGCAGCAACGATTTGTCTCACTTTTTTGATCGATTGTTTATCTCCACCCTCGGGGTTCTTTGGGCTGGGAAGGGAGGAGGAGGCCTGGCAGTCGACTGACCGCACAGCACACATATTTGTCATACTTTTATTGTGCCTCGTTGGGGGATTTGTTTGCTTCGCAAGAAATCTAAAAAATCATGAAAAAGCTTGACACGCACGAATGTCTTGTGTTGTGTGTCTTATAGCCTTTCCTTTTCACACTGGCGACCATCCACCATCCAATTCGGGAATGGTTCCGAAAAGTTGCCAGTTATTCTACCAACCATCTGGGAAGTTCCCAATTCGCACGTTTCTGTGCGGTATTTTTTCGATAATTTTCAAAAGCAACCATAAATATTTGACATTCACAACGAAAAAGTACCAGTCACTACGAAAATGTAAACAATGACAAACAGGAAAATTTGAAAAACCAACAACAAAACATCTGATATGTCAGAATTGTCTCTGGCAAAAAAACACGGAAATGATATAGTTTGTCGACTATCTTCTGGGAATTTGTTTATTAATGATCTGCAAACCTCATGCAGTATATTGCACACGCTGTTGGCTGACAGCTTTCCGACTGTACTCAGAAAAAGAGCCCAAAGTATACAATGCTATGGCCATACGCATCGTGGTTTTCGAGTACATCTCTCTCCTAAAAAGTGCCAAACCGCTTCTCAAAAAGCATAGAATATATGCATATCTGTGTTTAAAACATTGGTTGGACTTACTAGAAGCAGTCACACATGACCACGCTTCAGTGTTTTCAAAACAGAAATTCAGATTCCATTCCAAAAAATTCTGCTCGCCAATGTTGGCCTCATTATCATCATCCATGTCCAGCAACATGATTATATTGTGCAAGAACATATTTTGGAGCTGAATCACTCTCACAACCATTGCAATATTATTAATATTTATTTAAATTATAAAAGAAAAATAGAAAGAAATAACTTAATGCTCCGTATTGGAGTGGATCCTGTGATGCATTTCGCTGCTCCAATCATAGCTTATCATAGCTTCATTGCATCGGCTTGGCATAAATTTTTGTTCTCCACGAAAATGTAGAAAAAAATTATTATTTTCTGTGATTTTGTTATTGGAGGTTTCTCGGTCAAATTCTCGGCACAATTCTTAAAGAATGGAAATGTTTTCATCGAAAGAAATGAAATCGTTATATCCAAATGAAGTGTTTTATTGTCTTTATTCAACGCTACAACTGGTCATAAAAGCTAACAACTATTTAATATGTTTATTTATATATTTAGCTCTGCTGAAATTCGATTAAATTGTATGCCGCTTATAGTTAATCTGATGTCAGCAGCGCCAGTTGGGGAAAAAGTCGACGGTATAGCGCATGTAGGAGTCGGACAGCCAGATGAACTCGGACCAGAAGTCGGGCTTGGTGTACGGCAGCTTGAAACAGGAGACGAAGCGACTCATTAGCTTGTTGGCCTGGCTCCTGACCACACTGGCGGCATCCCCATTGCCCGTCTGGGGCTCCGTGGTCGGTGTGAAGCGGCACAGCTGGCGAATGGAGTTCACGGCCTCGAAGTTGCGCACCAGCAGCAGCTGGCTGACGGGCATCTTGAGGAGCTGCTGGAAGGCCGCATGCGCAGCCTCGTAGTTCTTGTAGTTGATGGTCAGGCATCGGCGCAACGTGTTGATCTCGTCCACAAACTGGGTCTCCACACGCAGAGAGCTGCTCTGCTTGCGCACCTTTTGCACGTAGGCCAGTTCGATTTGCCGCTGAGTGCGGCCGGTTGCTGGTGGCACGGAGCTGGTGGATGGCTCTTTAGCCGTATGCTCAGCACCTGGATGCATCACTTGCCACACATAATGAACACTGTCATCGTCGTTGCGGCCCATTAGGCGCTCGGTCATTAATATCGCCTCGCGGAAATCCTCATACTCCAGGGCCTCCTTGGTGACAAATATTTTCTTTTGCCTAAAGTTGTAGGGCCACATCTTTCGGTAGCTAATCCTCTTGCGATCGTTGGTGCACACAAACTGAATCAGTCCAGTGTGCCTTTTCTTTTCAATAAGCCTGCCCGGCCATGGTATGTATCCGCAATGCTCGGCAAACACAATGTCGCCGGCGTTGAATTTACCTGCCAAGAGAGTTAAATCCATCTTTGTAAATGCCAGCTGAACGAATGAATGTCAGCGAAAAGGGTAAAAGTTGTTGAATCAAAGAGTGCAGCTATATGTATATGGTAGTAACAAATGTCAGAGCGAGATGAAATCAGTGCACGCTGTAGATTGCTACAACAAGTGCTAGAGCGAGATGAAACCAGTGCGACATAATTACTAGTGATGTGAAGGCATCGACTTTTTCGTACCTGTTAATCGATATTTGAATTATAGTAAGTTTTTCATGTTTTTTATGTTTTTCTTTGGGTGTCTATCATACGATAAAGTAAACAAAAGTTTGTTTTTAAATATTACAAGAAAGGCTAGCAAAAACACTAACGCAAAAATAAGGAATTCACTATCTTGATCTTCTATTGGTACGAAAAAAATATATACAATATGAATTAACCGAGCATTACTTTAATTTAAATGATTAGGACATAAAAAAAACATTTATCTACGGTTTTTGTTTTTTTTAGAAAACATAGAGAAACAAATAACAAATTTATGTTTTCGCGGCAGGAAAATCTTCGATAGTATCGATATTGTCTCGATAGTTTCCCATCCCATCCCATGAACGGAACGGCAGTTTGTGCAAAAGACAAGCTTGTTAGTGGGAGATGAGGCTAATGTCTAAAGGAATGCCAATTATATTTTTACATTGCACATACAAATAAATATGCGTAATCCTTTTAGCTTGCGTGTAAGCCTGTTGAACATGCAGAAATATACATATATATGTATGTATATATATGCATGTATATATTTTTGTTTGCATGTTTTGGTTGCGATGGCGACGCCATGGGGGATGCGAATCTTCTGAAGATACAAACAGTCCGTGGTGGCAGCCATTCAGCAACGTATTAAGTGCACACATAAACCTTCATTTAGTTTGTGCCTGCAAGTGAACATTGCCACTTGACCCAAAGACAGCGGCAGTCAGAGAGCTGAAGAGTGCTAGCTTCAAATTAAATTTTGTTGTATAAATTTGGAGCTCTTAAAATTTGTCAATCAGGCAGGCTCGGTTCCGGTTTTCACTTTCACAAAAAAAAAAGCTGTGGCAGCCCGATTTGGCCATCGATAAATCTCTGCTAAACATATCAGAAGTAAATTTGGCGCTTAACAATACAAAGAGTAAACAAATTCACAAAACTGAATTCCAGAGCGCCTTGAAATGAAATATATAGTTTAACCTTTTTGGACAACCATACATTTTTAACGCCAAAATTTGATTTTTGTTCTACAAGTTTTTGTTGTTATTAGTGGTGATAACAGCGCAAGATAGTTAGAAATGTGCAAAAATGTGCAAAAATGTGCTGTTAAGTGCAAAAGCATCCGAATATTTCGAATAGACGCACATGCATCAGAGAGCGATGCAACTTTTTGCCACCACTAGGGCCCTATGCTTAACCTATGTAAAAATAAACTGCGACTCTTTGCAAGACGCAAAAAAGCATGAAGCAGCCCCAGTATATACAGCCTATAAATTGCAAAGTGAATGTAAAAACCGGAGCTTGCCTGACTAAACTATAACTTATTTTACAATTTAAATTGCGATTTTGGTATATTGGAACTAATTAATTTGGTATTTCTAATTTTTAAAGTACAAAATGCGATAAGAAATACACCCACACTTCTCTCAACATTTTTGAAATGAGCACTTCATATTTCTTACTCTATAAAATTAAGCTTTATAGTTTATGAAGCCGATTGACAGCTTTATTAATTGGCTTAAGAGAATTTAAAATTCCTTAACAATTATGTGTAGAAGACTCAAGTTATACGAAAAAATGCAAGTTTAACTCTTAAAAAACAACGAAAAAAAACCCATAATTTATTAAAAAAATGTGCAGGTATTATTTTGCTTGTTGCATAGTGATATTAGCTGATATTAATGCTCTGATTTTCTCCAATTTCCCACCTCAAGTCACATCCATTAATTCGTTAATTATTTTGAATTTGATTTCAGCTTAAAGACAACTTCCTTGAATGCTGATTTGGTAAGTTGCAACTCATTTGAATATCGTTTCAAGTTTTTTATGGCCTTAAGTACACATTTCCCTCAAGATGATCACTTACTCCGGTACTCGGTACATCTCCCCATAAATCTGAACGTTTATGGAATATTTTAAATGTCATTATTCCGTTCGGGGATAAGTGTGGGCTGGGTTGTGGCGGGGAGGGGAAATGTCTTTTTAGTGGACTCTTTGTTTGGGCTATAAATGGCGTCGTTTTAATGTGGTTGTCGTGTTTTGTCCTAGCTTCTGGCCACATAATGGGGCACACACATTGGACAAATGGCCATGCAACATGTGGTGGCTGCTGCTGCTGCTGCGGCTGCGGCGTCGGCTACTTGTGGCATCTTCTTGTCCCTCTTCTAATTTGATTTATATTTATAAAGTTGCAATCATTTACTTTCGATTGCCGGGGTAATAATAAAGCGTCGTTACATTTAAATAATGACCAAGTTGGCGTCGGTTAATGGTTATGAAAATTCAATTATAACCCCAGCCCGCACAATGATGGTCGTCTCCTTAATTCGCTACAGCTACTTGCCGCTGGCTCGGCTCGGCTCCCTGTTACCCACTTGCCTCTTGCCACTTGCCACTCGCCACTCGCCCACTCGCTGCTTGTCTTCCCCCCGTACCCTCACTCCACTCAAGGAGGCACATAAAACACGTGGCAAGATTAATTGTAGCCGGCTGTCGTACATTACAATGCGTATACGCGATGTTGTACATGTGTAAATAAGGGACAAGAGAGCGACCACAATGCCACTGCTGTTTTTTCTGCTGCCTGTTGCCTCTCTCTCTCTCTCTCGCTCTCTCTCTGTGCTTGTGCTCTGTGTCCTTGTGGCACTGGGCGACTGCTTTTTTCGGTCATCATATTTAATTCAAGCATAAATTTTTGCACGCATATAAAAAAGGAGCCCGGGACAGAAGGAAGTAAAAAAGAATTAATACGTTTCGGTTAATTTATGTGGCCAGGGGTGGGCCGTGGTGGGCCGTGTCCTGCCTGCCAAGGGTAGGCATGAAAAATAACCCCAGCTGGACGCAAACCAATGAGCCACAAACGACCGTGACGGAACAGGCCAGGCCAGGCCAGGACTGTTGTTGCTCCTGCTGCCTGACGAGCACGATGATGATGATGATGTTGATGATGGCCACGGCTTTTGTCTCGTCACCCTTTTTGCCCGGCGCCCAGTTGGCTCTGCTCTGGCTGTGTCGCTGGCCGCCCTGGTCCTAGCCCTGTCTCCGGCTCTGGTCCGGTCCTCGCTCTGACTCTGTCTCTGCCTCTGGTCCCTGCTCCGTGGCTCTGGCCCTGTCTCTCCTGGCGCCATTTGGCTGCCTTTTGTTATTGCAGTGTTCGGGATAATTACCAATGTATGCGAGGCGGCGGCAGGGGAGGGTAAAGGTGCAGGTGCCAGCCCCCCGAGTTTTTGTTATGCGCGCAGCCTCGGTGGCGTTTTTAATTTGTCATAATTTTGCCATAGACTCCCTCCCAAACTCCCCCCTCTCAACTAATTAGCTAGACCACAACACACCACACCAAACCCACGAAAACAGAGGCTATAAAACACTCACCAGCCCCAGCGATATCCATGGCACAGCGTTCAAGGCTTACGAACAACTGAGGCTAGAGCTGGGCCTGTCGTTAGCTGCAAGTGGAATATAATTCCTGCGAGTACGTAGCTCCAAGAACAAATGCGTTTCTCAGACTAAACAAACGCGAAAAAGGGGGGGGGCGGATTTTGTTTGTTTATTTTTGGATTTGTTACTGCGCTTCGGGTTTCTTTCGATTGAATGCGCTTCGGCAGCGGGGCCAAAGCGGCTGCCACCGTCAGCACTCTCACATTAAATCATCACTACCGGAAGACATACTCGTAAACCATAATCTCGTAGATAAACTCAACACACAGCGAACAATCACTTAATTTCTTCAGCCAATAAACCAAAAGAACCGACAAAGAGTCGACCAGCAAAACTCAGCAAAACTCAGCAAAACTGTAGTCAAGAGCAGCAAATTACTTCCACATTCACATCATCAATTGCAGCAACCGAACACTGAAACACCCCCAAAAACCACATAAATCAATCTCTGAGGGCGGAGTACTGGCCAAAATATCTGTGTACTGGCTGGCTGGATGGCTGGCACACAACTCCATTCGGAGTTCGAGCCATTTCCTTTTGCTGTGACAGAAATTGCAAAATATTTGATTTGTTCTTATTTAATTTGAGCATTTTCGTTGACGCACGCATTGCATGTGCCAAAGGCAGACGAAGGTGTGGGAGTGGCTCCCAGAAACCGCATTCCACACATACCAGATACATGGGATACATTTGGATACTCCTGCATTGATTGGCATAAGATTGCCAGTGGAGGAAAGGCCAGAGGCAAAGCCTCAGCCAGAGCCTGAGGCTGAGTGCGTCGTTGTGCAGTTTTCGAGTGATGTCAGTCGTCTACCCCTTTAGACGTCATCATTGATGCCTGATGAATTGAGTCAGCGTGGGGAAGACTGTGGAGAGGGTAGTGTAGGGGCTACTGCTGCTGCTGCTGCTGCTGCTTTTACCCATCAACTGAAACCCTGGCCATGTTCATGTTCAATTAGTGCAACGGCAATGCACTTTGTCCATATAAAATGCCTGCGAGTCTAATTAATTACTACACGAGACAGATACAGATACAGATACATTGAGAAAGGGGGAGGGGAGGGTAGGGGGGGGGATTCTGTCGGTCCAAAACCGCAGCCTGCCATCCATCTGTCTATCCGTGTATCCTGTGACTGATTTCAATGGAACCAACAGGAGCAGCAGCAGCAGCAGCATTATTAGGCCATGTCCATATCCATGTCCGGCATTGGTTTCTCTGGCCTGTCGGGCCCCAACTAATAGCGAAATAGTATCTACAAGCACACCCTCCACACACACACACCACACCCCCGACTCAACCACGAAAATGGAGCAGATCAAATTTGTATTTTGACTAGCGGCTAAATATTTGCCATTGAATTTCAGAGCATGTCGTTGGCTGCGATTATAATCAAGGGGCTGCTCCTGGCTGCTGCCTGATGGCCGTTGTTGAAAAGGAAATGCATACCCAGCCATCATAGCAGTGTATGCATCCATCATGCACCTTCTACCAGTCAATTTTAGTGGAAATTTTATATGGAAAAACGTACGGAAAATATCCGATACTTTAGATACTCTCGTGCAGATGAAACAAAATAGTTTCGAAGTGGAAACTGCAGCCAAACGAAGTACCTAGTTATACCCTGGGCTAAAGGGTACATAAAGTAGAAAATTGTTGCAGCCAATTTGCATATTGAATTACATTCATTGTTGATGCTTGCGTGCGTTTAATCCAGCAGTACCTCAGGCATCCCGTGTACCCCGCACCCCCTGGCATCCCTTAAACCCCACCCACTGTTCCGGCCATACATGTCAAACAAAAACCGCTGTCATATGTGTGGCTGGGAGGCTGTGCTTCTGGTACTGGTACTGGCACTGGTACTGGGTGGCTGCCAAAGAGTTGTCATTGTCCCACACGCAGCAGCAGTTCCTTTAGTTATTTATTTTCACAACATTTTCTCCCTCCCCCGCATACCCTCTCCGTGCAGCTTTTCTTCTTCTTTTTTTTGACGCTTTTGAGTGACGCTGACAATGCTGGCAATTGGCAGCCGCCACATGCCAAGGCAGCAGCGGCCATAAAATATTCAGTTATGACAACAAAGGAGCACAAAATACGAGTACTTTCCTGCCCTCTGGAATATTATTTTTTATATTCTTGTCTGACTGATGTACTCTCTCTCTCCCTCTCTCTTCTATACAAAATGTAGCTTCTTCTACTTCGGGCCTCAATTTGGCATGCAAATAAATTGGCTGTAAAATGCAAGTAACTATTGTGAAAGAAAGTTCCCTCCCATGAGTATTTGCAATGTTTACTGCACTGAGTAGAATTAAATGAAAATACAAACAGAAAGCACAATTACGGGCCCCTTACAGGAAACCTTCAAAATATTGCCAAAAAATATTCCAAAGAAATTGAACCACAAAATTGGGTCTTACAATTAAGGAGGATCATTATTTGCATTGTTAGGCAGCGTTCGCCTGATTTGTGCAAAAGTCTTTGGAAAAAGCTTCGAGTAGCTTTAAAATTGTGTACAAAAACTTAGGCTACATTTTTTTCCTCAGGAAAAAACTTCTGAGTTGGTGATATTAGTGGATGTTTTCAATAAGGTTTGCCGACAGAAACACGACTTAAATATGACCTTTTAACCGGTATTCAAAAGTGCAAAAATATATTTAATCGTATTCCTGTTATTTTTTATATGGCTATTATTATTACACTTTATTTACACTCTGTTCTCAAGGAAGAACATTTAACTAAAATATATGAATTTTCTTATGCCCATTTTCTTTTTTCAATTTATAAATTTAATCCCTTTCTTAGAGTGCATGAGCAAAGATTATAAAACGCATAAGTGATGCATCTTATACAAACTATTGAACCAGTTCGACTGCAGAGTCGTATGAAAACTCTTGATTGCCTTTCCGAGATAACTCAAAAATATCTTACGCTCCCATTCTGCTCGTTATACATCGATGTCTTTTCACTTGGCTTCTGTAATGTCTGCCAATCGAATCCACGCATAAATTTGTATAATTACCTTAACCGAAGTTAACTGAAACCAATAAAATAAGATTAAGTGATACTATTTAATCTTTTTAGTCGTGTTTTATTTTATGAGCAACCTGCGAGTCTCTGAAATTCTAAAAATATATCAAATTGACTTCAGTTGAGGCCTAAACTCTGATTTGCAGCCACTTAATTCCATTTCATAAAGTAATTAACTCATAAGCATTTCTCCACAAATATCCATTAAAAAAACGTAACTTTTCCAACACGAAACGGAATCTTTCGACTGAAATGAAATTACAGCTAGTTGTTGCTGCGTTCAACTTTGGCTTGGCTTTTTCTCGGCTTGGCTTGGCTTGGCTTTGGTGATAATCAAGCCAATTTGCCAATGAGAGCAAAATGCTAAAACAATTAAGATTCAATTTGGAAGTTCTTCAAGCTGCACAATTTTCTGGTGGTTCTCTCTGCCGCCCGAGTGACAATTTGAGCCCGTGCCAGGGAGCGAGGAGCCCAGGCCAGCACCGGGATCATCAGGGGTGTTCATGTCCATGACCATAGCAAGGACCAGGACTAGGCAGGGTCGGTACGGTACGGTTCGGTTCGGTTCGGGTTAAGACCATTTGGCCAAAAAGCATTACAAGGATTTAATTTAAAAGTTTGCAACACTTGGCTGGCTGGCAACAGTGGCAAGGCAGGCTGGGCGCTTTGTGTGGCGGCAGATGGGGCAATTAAAGCACATGCAGCAAATGAAATTTTTTAACTTAATATAGAAAACGATTCGGTGAATGAATTGCCCTTTTGGCCAGCCAGCATATATATTTATATATGTATATATTTTTTATTTTTTTTTTCAATTTGAGTTGCAGCAAAAAGTGAGAAGCGAGAGAGAGAGAGAAGTGCAGTACCTGCTGCCGTTGCTGCTGCTGCTGGGGAAAAAGTTTCGGGTATGAAGCACATTAATTAGAAGCTGCCACGCTCGGCAGACACGCGTCCAGGTGCCTAAAAAGTTATCCAACGTGCAACATGTTTTCGGTGGAAGAGCAAAAGTTTCTCGGTTTGTGTTGCGTTTGAGTTTGACTTGAAAGTTGAAAGTTGATTTTTCTATATACTTATGCAGTGTACATATGTACATACATATGTATGTGCATATATGTACATGTATGCACTTTTTGGTTGTTGCTGTTGTGGAATTGCTTGAGAGAGTTGCTTTTAATTAAGACCGCCGTCATGCGCCATGCACTTAAGTCCTTTGTGAGTAGGAGTATCAGGAGCAGGAGTAGCAGCAGCAGGAGCTAGAAGCTGCACTCTGTCAGCCAGCATCATTAGCAGTCGCTGCCTGACTGCCGACAAGGTGTTAACTTTTAAACGTAACATTTAATTTTCACTAAAAGAGCACAAAAATAAAACATATGCACAGACAGGGCAGTGTGAGATTGGGGAGTGGGTGGGGCATGGGGTAGTGGGAGTTGGGCCGTGTCGGGTTTTTGCTCCTGTTATAAATAACGTAATCTTCACGCACGTAATTCAAATGTGGCGAACGGGCGTGTCTGGCCGGCGTTGCGTCTCATTTAGCGCACGTAACCAAATAATGACCCCAAATGATGCTCCTGCCTGATGACCCACGCGGCGTATACATAACGCTCTTAAACAGAGCGACAGAGAGAGAGACAGAGAGAGAAACAAACTAGAGACTATGTGGCATTCATACCGACTAGCAGCTACCCCTAACGCATTTATTTTTGGCTTATAAATATGTACAATAAAATCAATTCAAAAAACAATCAAAATTCTGCTCACTTGAAGATTTTTTTCTTGGCTTTGTTTTGGCTGCCTAAATACCCAGATATTCCTTCTTTATTTTTTTTTGCGGCCCTGTCACATACCTTTTCCATATACCCGATATACCCGTTTGGACTCTGCGAGTACCGTGTGGAAAAAGTAAACTTCGTGCGTATTGTAAATAAAATAAAATGTAACGAAACGAAGCGAAATGTTTTATCAACGTGCCGGAGCGCACTAAACAGTAGCCCCCGGAATGGAGGAGGCCACTCCATGCCGTAGCATCCCAGCCAGCGAGCTGTCCAACTGACAGATGGTTGCGCTGACCGCGAGCAGCCCTGTCCCTGTCCCCTGCCCCCACCATCCTCTATCACAGGCCTTTGTCTCCCTTTTGCTGATTATCGCTTCTCGTTCATGTGATATTTGTTGTTGTAATTGTTTTGGGCGAGGGAAAGGGAGGGGAACAGCGCGCGCGTTAGATGTTCGGACAGGGGCGAAACAGGAAGATAGATTGCAATGGCCACAGGCCATTACCGAATGCGAGATGCGGCGGGGGAATGGGAGTGGGAGTGGGGAGTGGGGAGGAGCAGCACACAAATTTCTTGTCATTAAATTAAAAATAAACGACAATATTTTATGCGCCTATAAATATGCAGCACGGCACAGAACACACACAAAACGCCTGTCTCGTATCGGGGGGAAAGCGAGCAGCTGCTGGAATTTATTTATGCGATTTGTTGCTGTAGTAGTTACACTTTTAATGTCTTATGCCTTATGCAAGGAAGGCTAACCCACAACCCTACGCAGGTGTGTCTGTGCCGGCGAGAGGGCAGAGAGAGAACGTTCGAGTTTACAAGATAGAAAGATGCCCTAAGCCGATGTAAGAAGAATTTATATCTGCTAGATGCATGCTAGGCGGATACATACTCCTCCTGCTCTCCTGCATGGGCCTGCATGCTGGCGGCGAGTCGTAAATTATGATTAGGCAATTGGCAGAAGGCTTAGCAAATTGACATTTTGCAATTGCATCCTAAAGATACGTTCTGCGTCGCTTACATAATTTTGTGTAAATGCGTTTTTTTATATCTGAATATGCGCCTGCTATCTTTGCGACTTTTAGATATTTTTGTATGTCAGCTCGAGACTGCAACAGATAATTACAAAATATTTTTGTGCCTGGTAGCTGTTCCTGTACCTGTTCTCCATTGCTAATAGTTTTTCATTTAAAAAATATATCCTTCAAATACTGTTTTGTATTTATGCCCCAACGAATATTTTTGCCTCACGCAGTTACTTTTTAATTAGTATCTCTGCCAAAGTGTAGATATACATATGTAAAATAATTACATTCGTATTTTACACATACATTTCTTTGCATGAATTATTTTCCATATCGATGATTGCTGAAAAAATATCTTTGCATATTTAAGATACTTTTGTGAATTTTTCTTGTCTCGTAAACTCGTTTAGATATAATCTAAAACATGTTCATTCGCACAAGACTTCTTGGCACTCGGCAGATGCAAATACAGATACTTAAATCCAACAGTCTGCAGCTCTCAGATGCTGCTGCTGCTTCCTTTTAGATTCTTCGACTGCCCTTCGACTAGATATTTTTGCAAGACTTCTTTGCATACGGCAGACACACAGATACACTCGTGCACATGTGTGTAAATCGTCTGCAGATACTTTTGCAGCTTCTGCAACGCCCCCGCCACGCCACGCCACCCCCCCCATTAATAAAATCCAATAAATAAAGCTCAAAATGAAAATAAATCTTTTCATGGGTTTTTACAATGCAATCCTAATCCTACAACTTCTTCTGCTTCTGCTGCTGCTGCTGCTGCTGCTGCTCCTTGTATCTCCAGTCGGGCAGTCTTGAAGGGCTTCTGCTCCTCCTCCTCCTCCCCATCCTCCTGTAGATGCAGCTGCTGCTGCTCCTGCGGCTCGTTCCATGGCTGGGTCACGGCAGTGCCCCAAATCAAATAGATCACATTGCCAGCAAAAAGGACGACAGCCGCCAGGCTGAAGACCAGCTGCCATTCGCTGCGCTGCGTTGCATCCGTCACCAGTACGCCCACAACGAGCGGTGTGCACAGGGCCACCAGGTTGGTGAAGGTGCTCAGTATGCCGGAGAGGATGCCGGCATGATTCGGCGACAGGTCAATCGTATTCAGTTCGCTGCCAATTGTCGCCGCACTGCTAACGCCCACGCTCAGCGTGACGAGGAATAGGGCCAGCGACTTTTGCTCCACGCCCACAAAGCCCACGGCCAGCATTATGGAGGCGGGCGCCCACAGCGCAATGCTGTTGTATGTCTTCCGCAGCGCTGTCAGACTGAGGCACTTGTACTGCAGCAGGGTGTCGGCCACGATCAAATACACATAGCACATGGCCCACATCAGCAGGAAGGGCAGTGCCGAGAACACCGCATTGCTATCCATCTGCAATTGGAGCACTCCCTTCAGATACGCCGGCAGCTCGGCCTGCATGGTGGCCAGTCCCCAAGTGTCCGCACAGCGGGCGCACAGCAGCGCATAGAACGGCGCCGATGTGAAGATGCCACGCCAGGGTATGGCTCTCCGGCGCTCTCTCTTCTTGGAGCTCAACTGCATCTGCAGATCACCCATGATGTATTCCTTTTCGGCCTGGCCAATAAAGCGAGCCTCGCTGGCCCGATTGGCGCCCAGCAGCAGCCACAGCAGGCACCAGCAGAGCGCCAGACCCGCGGAGGCATAGCTGATGCCCGGCCAGCCCAGCGGCGAGCTGGCTATCGTCCCTGCCGCATACATGGCCAGCACATTGCCACAGTCGAAGCCCGTGTAGGCGAAGGCACCCAGGCGCGTTCGTTCCACCTCCGGCGCCCAGTTGGCCAAATGCTGGTGGATGCAGGGCCATGTCACCTGGCACAGGCCCTGGAGCAGACGGATCAGGCAGAAGGCCTGCCAGCCCGCCGCATAGATGCTGTGCGGTGTCGCCGCACTGAGCAGGGCCGAGCCCAGGGTGCCCAGGAAGAGTACGGCCTTCGAGCCGAAGCGCTTGCACAGGTAGCCGGCGGGGAACTGAGCCAGCGTGGAGCCCCAATAGAAGCTGGACAGGATGTAGGACTTCTCCGACTCCGTCCAGTTGTAGTACTGCAATGGGGGGATAAGTGCTGGCTGTGATTATGGTGCATACGGTGGCTGTTTCGCTTACCCACGGGCGTGTCCTCATTGATCGATGTGGCATTGGTCATCGCCACCACAGTCACGCCCACATTCAGCTGAAGAATTGTGTTGGCCGCCAGTCCAATGAAGAGCAGCGCCGCCTGCAAGTGCCGCCATCCAAGGCGTGGCACTGTCCAAAGGATGGGCGTTAATAAAGCGGGTAACACATTTTGTGGACTCTCTCTCTGTCTCACTCACCCTTTTCGAGATCCGCCTCCATGTCAGTTGGTTCGGGATTTCTAGATTTAAATGGGATGCGGACTGTTGGGTTCTTGGGCAGTGCCTAAATTTGCATTTGGCTATCACTTTGGCAGCTGGAAAGGTACAAATTTACGAGATTCAATTATTTATTTATAGTTGGTATTGTATAAAGCAGCTTAAGCAGCGAATGTTTTGGGGAAAAGTGATCCGGGAATGCATAGGATGGGCATAGGGGTCATTTCCATGGAACTCTGTGCCAATATTATTGGCTACATTTGTGGAAACTTCACACATTTAACCCACTGAAATATAGTTTCATTAACATTAGTGCAAACACATATTAAAATTAGCAAAAGTTAATTTTTTTGTTTTGTTTTTATTATTTTTAATACCATTTTTTCATTAATTATTACCTCGTTATCGGCGGAAAGCACTTTTGGTTTTTTTTTCGTACGAATACCTTTCAATTATTTAATTATTTAATTAATTAATTAAATTATTTAAAGCAAAAGAGTTAAAATTGTATATTGTCTAAATAAAAGCCCGTTTTATTTTGACTCTTATTTTTCTTTAAATGTGTTTGAAATGTGCTGTGCCATATAAGGGAAATGCCAATTAGTTTTGGTCTCCAATATCAGAAATAATTTTACATATAAATGTCCATAGAAATACTCTTATTTGATCGTTACTTAAATCCTTTTGAGTTCTTTTTGAATAGATTTAAAATATCAAACTCGTTTTAATGCAATTTAAAGCATAAAAGTATTCAGAAAATTCTGGTTTAATTCTGGTCTTTAAACAGAATAAGCCTTTGTGTCCCTACACAATTCGACTGAGAAAACAGTTCTTCCGTAAAATCTTCAATTTAAATCAAAACGAGAAGGAACGTGTGAGTCGCTTCTGGGGACGCGACTCTACTTATACCCGTACTCAGTCAGTATATACATTCACTTTTGAGCTTATGATTTTTTAAGAATTTTAGAAAAAAAAAAAATTTTACATTTTACATTTTTTTGCTACATATGATATCTACATCTACATATAAAATGTATATTCTACATCTAACATGTATATTTTACATGTTCCAATTAGATTCTACATCTCCTCCGCTAGGGGTTGCTCGCGCACTGAACGCGGCAGAATGTGCGAGCGAGAAGGAAAATGAGATGCGTTGTCTTGGCGGGAGGGGGAGGGGAAGCAACTGAAAATGAATTTCTTCATTCTGGCTATAATTATGATCCGATCTAGTTCATATTTGGCAATCTGGTAGATATGGGAATTTTCTACGATACTGCGTTTTTAGTTTTATCGTATCTTTAAAACTGTGCCTGCCACAGATTTTCGTCCTTTGTGTGGGCGGAAGGGGGCGGGGCGAAATTTTGAAATACACTTGTAGCAGTGTGATATCACATGAGTCTGGAAACCAAATTTGGTTTCTCTAGCTCTTATAGTCTCTGAGATCCAGGCGCTCATCAAGACGGACAGACGGACAGACGGACGGACAGACGGACATGGCTATATAGACTCGGCTACTGATGCTGATCAAGAATATATATACTTTATGGGGTCGGAAACGTTTCCTTCTCTGCGTTGCACACATCCACTTTTACCACAAATCTAATATACCCCTTAACTCTTTTTTGAGTACGGGTATAATTAAATGTCACAACGCACATATTGAGTGCCAATTGAAATCATGAAGCATATACAAATTTTACACAAAACGTCCATGCCGATCACTTAAGCATCTTGGTCATCAATTCTGTTTAAAGTGTATACAACTTCTTCATTAAAAAAGAAAACTGCTGAAGTGGTGACAATTTGTATCAAGACTTCATGCCACATTCCGCATGCAATAATAAAACCCTAGATCTCAACTGACAAAAGACCAAAAATGGTTTTGTTTATAAAAAAGCTGCTAAAACTTTTTGTTGATCTAATCAGATTCTATGGGAGAGGAGAGCGTACATACTCGTACATGCTCGTATGTGTGTGTGTGCTGAAGCGGAAATTTGTCGAGGGCTGTGTGTTCAGTTTAGTCAAAAAGTTGAGGTCATTCCGAAGGGCCTAAAAATAACTAATCAGATTGATGGAAGAGGTATCCATCCGTATTTTTGGGCACAGTATCTGGAACAATTTTTGTCTGTGCAGAATTTTTGGCCGAAAATTCAACTGCAGAACTGAGAGGAGATTTCGATGTTGATGTTGCTGCACTTTGTCTGGACAAACAGAACCACACACACACACACACACACATGAAAAAACACAGTGAGCTCTTCATCCGGATATTGCTGCCATGAAATTCTCTTGTTTGTTATCTTAGATATTTTTTGGGTTTTGTTATTTCTCCCAATTTTTCGTTGTGTTTGCTCCGATTCCCAGCAGCAGCGTCCTGGGCTCTGAATCTGACTCTCACTCGGGCTTTGGGTGCTGTTCTGCCATTCTGGTGCCTCTTGTGTCTGCCAGAGTTCCAGTCCCTCTCAGTTATCGTCGTGTGCAAATTTCCTCGATAATACGCAACGCAGCAGCAACAAAAAAAAACCAACAAAAAACAATGTAAAGTACAGAGAGGAAAAATAAACAAAACGTGGTGAATGTGGGAGTGGGAGGAGCGGGAGAGAGACGGAGGGAACAAAAAAAAAACTGATTTCAAATCTCAGCATTTACAATTGTATCTGTGCAGCTAACAAGATACTTTTCAGTGCCGTGGCACATACGAGAGTGCCACACACTCCCCCTTCCCTCCCACCCACACAAACACACACACACACACACTCTTCTTCAATTGTTCTAATAGTTGGCAACGTGTGGACGACTGCCAATCGGCAGAGGCGCCCCAAAAAGGGGGTGGGGGAGGTGGCGTTTGTCCACCTTTAATGTCGAACCCAACAAAAATAGTAACAGAAATGAGCCATGGCATTCAGTGTTTCGACTAGCAGATGACCTGTTAGGGGATTTTATTTTTATTCCATATGAAACTATAACAACAAAAAGATAAAGATACAACTGATAGTCATGGCAGCTCTTTTATTTCTGAGCATAAATTGTTGCCAACGCATTTTATCTTTTGTTTCTTTTTGGCGCTAGCATAAGTAATAATCGTTTTTGCTTTGCTTTTTATCTTATCACAATGAAAATTGTTAAATAGATAGACAATATATTTATAAGTGTATGAAATTTGAAGAGTATAAATTGAACACTTTATAAACTTGAAAAATGCCCTCTAAACGGAACCAAATATCTATTTGAAAGGAATGTTGATGAAACATGTTCTAAAGAACTGACAACTCTTCTTCCCGAGAGGTGTAATTAAATGTAATCAATAAAATACTCTTTTGTAGTATTGCCTACACTTATAAAATGATTTGTGTTCATTATAAAAATTGTATAATTGGTAGCTTGTTTTTTCCGGAATTAAAGCCACATTTAAACATACAAAAAAACAATTTAAAGAGGGGCCAAAGTTGAAACAACATTAAAATGGGAAACTTTCACTTTGGCTTGATATATCAAGGATCCATTGTATGTATTTGAAAGGCCATACTTTTCTATATTTTTTGGATATCAATGCTGTTGTAGAGGCCGATTAACAATAATAAAAGGGCGCAATGTCACCAAAATGACGTAAATTTTTTTTAGAACACAACAAATTTAAAATATACACTCAAAAATATTTTAAATTTGTTGTGTTCTAATCTACCAGGCCAAAAAAAGTTTGAATTTTATTGAATATTTTAATTTTGGTGTATTATTTAAAGACCAACGAATTTTCTTAAGTACTTTTATTTTTGTTATTTTGGCTATTAATAATTTGTTCTTTTTTTTACTTTGCCATGTCCATGAAATTTCATAGATACATAGACAATGGGTTTGTTTATGAGTATACAAAATTTGAATCTTGGTTTATTGTTGGATATGTATGACGAATGGCGAATATAGCACACCCTCACACCTGTTGAATACCCTGTAGAGAAAACAATTAATTCAATGCATTCGTTGGTTGTGCCCTTGGATTGTGAGTGTGTGTGTGTGTGTGTGTGGGAGGGTTTTGATGACTAAAAGGCCTATCCTATTCTTTTTGGGATCATTGTGCACATATTTGCACATTCGAATGTTTTGTTTGCATTTCAGTTCACATTTTGCAAATTACTCTCAGCCCAAAAATCACAAAACCCAGTACCCGTTCCTCGTCTTTCTTCGACCCAAACTGTTTGCAGCAGTACATATAAATATATTGTTAAACATTTTGTATGAATTTATTAAAAACAAATCGACAAACACGCACACGACGCACTTAGATATACAATGCCATTGAGATTGAGTTCGTTTTGTGGTTTAGATATTTTTATTTTTGTTTTATTTCGTTTTAATTCAGAAAATAACCAACCCAACGCATATATTCGCGGGAATTTCGGCACTCACAGACGCGCAGACACACACGCACACACACACACACAGACTGCCACTCCGACAACATTGTTGATTAGTTATAAATAAATTTGATTCAGATTGAGATTCACTTGTTTGCCATAGTTAATAGTTTCACAGAAAGAACCGAACCGAACCTTTCCTTCCTTACAGCGTAAACCACTGTGTATATAGACTCCACTCTGTTATTTGTACACAATATACATATGTTTATTACATTCCTTTTCTGTTTTATTTTTATCTTATTTTTCTATTAATAATGTTAGTTTTATTATAGTTTTACTTTGCCTGTGGCTCTCGCGCTGCTCGCGATCGTTCTGTTTGCACGTTTTAGGCGAATGTGAATATGCGAATGAATCTGTATTCAGTTCTACCACCCGTAATTTGCTAGCGAATCAATTCGAGTCGAGTCGTGAGGCGCGTCACGCGTGAGGCCTTACAAAAGCAAAAGATAATAATGTTTGCATTGAGCTTAAGCGGTTTCTTTTTATCGCAATTACTTTCGTATGGTTGGGTCTTTTTGGTTGTTTAACCTCTAAAGATGGTGACACTTTTTTCAAGATTTCTCTTAGCTTTACATGAAATTCAAATTCAAACTGCTTCTACACATTGCAAACTGACACAAGCTCACTGCTACATCACAAACACAACACATGATCACGAGCGCGTGAGTGTGAGAGAGCAATGTGTCTCTCTCTCTCTCTCGATCGAAAAACTCATCCAATGCAACCAAAAGCTGAGCTTATACTCAAAACATGAGAACCAGACTCAAAAATATCAATATATTACATATGAATAAAATATATTATTTTAATTTGATACTATATTTTATTTCTCACTCCGTTTCGATTTATTTCATCTTTCAATTATTAGTGAAGAACATAGGGTATAAAAACTCCCAAACTCAATACCCTGCAAATGGCTTACAGAAATTTCCACTCAAAGAGAGCAAGAGCGAAAAAATGATCGTAAACTCACACTGGTACGCAAAAATGATCCAGTCGAGAGAGCGTTTTATTGCCACATGCTCCCCCGATCCGTAAACAAAATCAAGGTATGCTAAGGATTGGGGTGGATTTTACCTAGAAAGCGTTGAATTTTCTGGGCCGAGTTGCCTGTTGTCCATACCTTTTTTGTATGGCAGGGGCCGTCAACATTTTTGCTAGCCACATGTGATCGCAACATTTTGAAAGCGGGCGGGTGTATTTGAAAGAACCGGCAAATCGTGATCGTGAAAAAAATCAGCCGCGGGCAATGGAACAACAAAATAGTGTCGAATGTTATTCTGAATTCAGAAAAGTCCGTTGAAATCTACCACTGTGATCGTGAATGAAACACCGGCGAAGAGTGTTCAATTGGATTGAAATTAAAATCGCCGTTAGCGCGAGTGCAAGTGAACGATCAGCCAAAGGGCAAAAATTACTTAATATTTTAAAGAAAAGAACGCGAAACGCAAAAGCGCGTCACCAATTACAGTTAAACTAGAAGCATCGCCGTCGCCGCTCTGCCCGCCGCCGCAGCCGCCGCCGTCGTCAACAAAACGACGTCATTTTATCATATTCGTGTGAGTGCTTAAATTGTTTAAACAAATACACAAGCAACAAAAGCCGCTGGGCTATCATTTCGTGCGTGTTCAACTCTGAAATTGCAACAAATAGATACACATGAAATAACGCAGTTATAAGCAAAAAAGAAAAAGCAACAAATTAAAAAGCTGTGTGTGTGCGCGTGTGTGTGTGTGAAAGGTGTGTGCAAAGGAAAGACGTGTGAAAGGATAAAGTGAAGGAAACCATTGGAGGCAAAGATCGCTCGGAATACGAAAGAAGGAAACGACAGAAAAAAGTGTACAAAAAACTAGTGCAAAGAAAGAGTGTGATAGGAAGCGGGTTCGGTGAATTTTTGGTCTAAGGGTGTGGACTGAGAGGGAAAAAGAGCGAAAGGAAGCCATAAGGCAGAATGTAAAAGGAGGAAGTTAGAATGAACGGCACATAAGGAAGTAGGGAGATAGGCTTGTGGTAAGGGTAACAAATAAAGCAGTAAAGAAAAGTGCGTAGGACAGACAAATGTGTGCTTACGGGAAGTGCAACAAGAAGAAAAGTTTTCTCGCAGTAAACAGAGAACAGAAGAACTTTTTGCCGCGCCAAATGCCGGCCAGCAGCTGCCGGCAGTCATACAAAAAATTCAAATAGTTCGATTTGAGTTTTTCGTCAGTGAAAAGTGACACAACGCTCCGTGCAATTTATGTCATTTTGGTAACAATTCCTTTTCGGTCTCGTTTCGGTTGGTATTTTTTTGTTTTTCATTCTGGGTGTCCTTTGCTATTGTGTCTCTTATTGTCTCTGGTGAAAAGTTTCGCGCTGCGGAGTGCAGTGGGATGTTGTGCTGGTCACCTGTTCAGGAAGTCCTCCTTTTAGTGGAACACGCGCTATCCATGCCATTGTCCAAAGAAAATGCAGTTAAATGGAACTGCCTCTCTGTGTGAGACGTGTGCATGGGCATTTTTTTGTAGTTCTAATTGTATACGTTTTCGAGTGAGAATACCCTTACATAAATGGCCATCACATCAGAGTTATGTATGCCCCTCACATAGATCCCTTTGGATCTATTGCTACGCTTCCTATTGCAGCCGGAACATGAGAAAAAACTGTGATAGCTAACATTTTAAAGATCTGCCAATATGCCACACCGATGCATTACCTTTAGTGCCCTTCACAGAAACAAAAGAATCGGATTAGCAGAGTATCCTAAAGTGCAATGATCCTCCGCGCATGTGTTTGTGTTCAAGTGTGTTCTAGCAAAATCCCTTTTGTCCCTTCTTTCAGTCCTCTTTGTGCAGCGTCTTTTTATGAACGTGTCCCCCGAATATCAAAAGTGAATGAAATATCAAAGAAAACAAAGTTAAAACAAAGTTCAAAAACCACAGCTCGGATCTTTGTAACGGGAACCTGGGAGTGTACGGATATAGCCCACTGCCAACAAAAATCATTTTGTAAGTTTTATATTTATGTTTTAATTTTATATGTCTTTTGTTTTCGAATACTCATTTATATTTTATCATAACTGCTCTTTTGCCTGCTTCCTTTTTTTTTTTTTTGGTTGCTGCTCGTTTACCTGTTGCCTGTACGTACTCTTCTTTTTACCCCCTCCCCTCCCTCTGGCACAAAAACACATCATCTTTCGCTCTCCTCGCTCTCTGTCTCTGTCTCGCCCTCTCTCTCTGCAGCTCCTGCTCTCATTGTCGTACGGTTATTTCATGAATTTCGCTTTTTGTTGTTGTTTTAACATTTATATTGTTTGCGGTTACCCCAGCTACTCTTTTTCTTGTGTGTTCGTCTCTGCTCTGTACACACCCACACACACACCTCACCAACACTCATGGTTTTTATTTTATGTTGTTTTTGTTTCTTATTGTGCAATTTCACCTTTGGATGTACCCTAGCCTCCCGATCATCTTCGAACCCAAGGCGTATTTGTATAGGGTGAGACATTTCCGCTCCCCCGAGCTGCCTATTACCTGTTGACAGAGTGCACCTCTTCGAAAAGTCCACCTTATAAAAATACACCGTGCTGTGACCCCTCAGTCCTCTGTCTCACTCTTCCCACCTTTACGCTGTTTTCTTTTTTTTTCCTTTTCATTTGTTCCACTTTTATTGCCGTCGCTTCCTTTTTGCCTAATTTCGCTGACTCATTGGCAGTGCTCACTGTAATTTTCATATTTTTTTTTCGGTTACTGCAATCCCATTCCTCCCTCCCTCTCTCTCTCTCTCTCTCTCTGTCTTTTATACTGTGAACTGCTTTGCTTTGGTTTTGTGGTTTCGACCACACACGCATTCACACACACACACACACAAACACACACCTGACTCTGACTTTTTGTGGCTGTGCTGTTCCGTGTAGGTTTTTCATTTTGTTGACATTTTTGCCTGTGGCTTTGGACCCCGGGCTGGTGCTCCACCACAGTCACGGCACTGTTCAGGCCTTTTCAGGGTCAACTGGGAGCTGGGGCAACACGGAGGAGAGACTCCCGAGCCAAGCAACAGAATTCTGTGTAATACTGTGTGTTGGTGGCTGCTAATGAGGGCGCACTGTGGGTGTTTCTGTGTGTGTAGTTCAATTAGGGAAATGAGGAGTGGAAATGTGGCAAGTGGAGGGCCCATACTGAAAGATTAATTGGATAGTGTTTTCCTCTCTTTAAGGGAATTGATTTACTTTGAAATATACCCCAGAAGTACCCTTCTTTGTGCTAGCCATTCTTTCTCACTTATTTTTATTACCAAGCCCCCCATCCCATACCATTCCTGGAACCTTCCGTCCCTCTGCACATGCACTGCACTCTGAAATGTCACTCATTTGGAGGTCTCATTGTGTTCTCATGTTCGGTTTTCTTTATAATAAAAGAAACTAGATTTATGCACCAGTGTGTGTGTGTGTGTGTGTGTGTGTATCCCATGTCGTACAACTAGCGCCGTTATTTTAGACTTAAAACGACTCATTTAGAGGTGGGGTAGAGACAGGGAGAGTGCGAGAGACTGATGGGAGAGTCGAGGGGGAAAAAAAAGCTGTGGATGAGGTGGCATTTTGCAGGGCGACGCGTCGTCGGGGCCAGGGCGTAATTTGCAAACAAAAAGCCATTAAAATATCAAATTAGCGTCTGGCTTCGGGGGCCTCTCTCTGTATACGGTTTTAGTTGAAGTCTCCAATTGTCGTCGCTCCACGTGGCCCGTTCCCCACACCACAGCCTCCCACGGGTCTGCCCACTGCCTACGGCCCCCCCGTTCCCCTATCCGTTATTGTGCAAAATCGAAAGTAAATGAAATGTGGCACCCGCATGTGTGTTTCGATTCAGTCATCAATTTGTTGATTAACAGTTGCTGTTAGTGTCCTATGTCTGGCCCTCTCGCTTCCACCCACCCATCCATCAACTGAGATTGTGATAAAAGTCGCGTGCACGCGTGTGTATATCGTAGTTAGCAGTGCACTCTGCTGCGGTGTTCCCGCTCCCGTTCCCTGTTAGTTTCGCTTATCAGCCATTAAGTGAAATTGTTTCTGGTCGAGAGAAAAAGTTGCATACCCTGTAAGTTATGGAGCAGTGGGTATAT